CATGATCCGACCACACACGAGACCGTCTCGCACCCGTCGCACCGCAGAGGTAGATCATCGACGTTCGGGGACGCACTTTGTCTGGAAAAACATACGGTTTTGTGCATCTGCTATCTCTCAAAAACGCATTTCGTGCGAGACTTCCTTCAAAACTCCATCGGCAACTCCTCCACCAGGACCACTTGCAATCCCATTTGCAGTGAGGGAACAATTTCTTTGCTAACTCTTTCTGTGACTAACTCTTTCCCTCACTAACTCTTTCTTTGACTAACTCTTTCCCTGACTAACTGTTTCTTTGCTAACTCTTTCTTTCACTACCTCATATATCCTGACTAACTCTTTCTTTGACTAACTCTTTCCCTCACTAACTCTTTCTTTGACTGACTCTTTCCCTCACTAACTCTTTCTTTGACTAACTCTTTCCCTCACTGACTCTTTCTTTGACTAACTCTTTCCCTGACTAACTCCTTCTTTGACTAACTCTTTCCCTCACTAACTCTTTCTTTGACTGACTCTTTCCCTCACTAACTCTTTCTTTGGCTAACTCTTTCCCTCACTGACTCTTTCTTTGACTAACTCTTTCCCTGACTAACTCTTTCTTTGACTAACTGTTTCCCTGACGAACTCTTTCTTTGCGAACTCTTTCTGTGACTAACTCTTTCCCTCACTAACTCTTTCTTTGACTAACTCTTTCCCTGACTAACTGTTTCTTTGCTAACTCTTTCTTTGACTAACTCTTTCCCTCACTAACTCTTTCTTTGACTAACTCTTTCCCTCACTATCTCTTTCTTTGACTAACTCTTTCCCTGACTAACTGTTTCTTTGCTAACTCTTTCTTTGACTAACTCTTTCCCTCACTAACTCTTTCTTTGACTAACTCTTTCCCTCACTAACTCTTTCTTTGACTAACTCTTTCTCTTTCCCTGACTTACTGTTTCTTTGACTAACTCTTTCTTTGACGAACTCTTTCCCTGACGAACTCTTTCTTTGCGAACTCTTTCTGTGACTAACTCTTTCCCTCACTAACTCTTTCTTTGACTAACTCTTTCCCTGACTAACTGTTTCTTTGCTAACTTTTTTTTTGACTAACTCTTTCCCTCACTAACTCTTTCTTTGACTAACTCTTTCCCTGACTAACTGTTTCTTTGATTCTTTGACTAACTCTTTCTTTGACTAACTCTTTCCCTGACGAACGCTTTCTTTGCTAACTCTTTCTGTGACTAACTCTTTCCCTCACTAACTCTTTCTTTGCTAACTCTTTCTTTGACTAACTCTTTCCCTGACATTCTAAAAGTCCGTAACACGGAAGTTTCTCCCCCTAAACTTCCTTTGATCACCCGCAGACTTTTCACCCGCAGAATTATCACAGGCGAGGGGCTCACTTTGGGCATAAATTCGATCTCACTTTGGGCATAATTTTTTGAGGTTCACTTTGGGCATAAATTGGGCTCACTTTGCGCATAACAGGGCTCACTTTGGGCATAACTGGGCTCACTTTGGGCATAAATGGGTTCACTTTGGGCATAAATGGGCTCACTTTGGGCATAAATAAGCTCCCTTTGGGTTTTAAATGGGTTCACTTTGGGCATAAATGAGATCACTTTGGGCATAAAAAGCAGAGCCACGACACCTTTAGGGTTTATATGTTGGTGCACTTAATTAATGTAAGAAGAGCCACGACACCTTTAGGTTTATATACTTTTCACCCAGAGACTCTTCACCCAGAGACTCTTCTTCCACAGGCTTTTGAGACTTTTCACCCAGAGGCTCTTGACCAATATACGTACTTTTTACCCTCACCATATACTTTTCACCCAGGGACTTTGACCAATACATTTTTTGCCCACATTTTTTTAACCCACACTCTTTTCACCCACAGACTTTGCACCCTCAGACTTTTCACCCATACCCGTTTCACCTGTATACTTTTGACCCACGGGCTTTTCACCCACACACTTTTCACCCACAGACTTTTCACCTAAACACTCTTCACCAATATACTTTTTACCCTCAAAATTTTCCCCCGTATACTGTTGACCCACAGACTTTTCACCCATATATTTTTCACCCACATACTTTTCACCCACATTCTTTCACCCATATAATTACCTCTCACCCATATACTTTTCACCCACAGACTGTTCAACCATATGCCTTTCACCCCTAGACTTTTCACCCAGAGACTCTTCACCAACATATCTTTTACCCTCAGACTTTTCCCCCATATACTTTTCTTCGTCCATATTATACTTTTCACTCATACACTTTTTGCCCAGAAACTTTTCAATTATATATTTTTTTTCACCCATAGACTTTTTACCCACAGACTCTTGACCCACAGACTTTTCACCCGCAGACTTTCACCCATACACTTTTCGTCCACAGACTTTTCACCCACAGACTTTGCACTCTCAGTGTTTTCACCCATACCTGTTTCACCCACATACTTTTGACCCATGGACCTAGAAAACAACCGGACCTAGGGGGAATCGATACCCACCGTCACTGTTTTGCCACCTGGTACCTGCAAAACCATACTTTTTTCACGCCTAAAACGCCACCTATTTACGACGTTTTCGGCTTTTGGCAACTACCCCCCCAGACCCCTTATATGCTCACTTCGTTCGCGAATAACAACTAGCCAGCTTCCCGGCTGGCTTCCGTAATAAAGATTGACCTCAACCTTCCAACCTGATTCAGGTTGCCGGCTAATCCATCCGACACGACATCACCACACACGATTCAAACTGCTTGAGGCCAAGTTGCATACACTGGGCAGCCACAGGATGCATCTGTGCAGGCGCATGTATCGCCTGAGTCGCCAGTGCATTGGCAAGCCTCTTGGATGAACTTCTCAGCATAGCTCACGTAAACCTACGGTGGCAGCAGGGCACAAGGTCTTGCAGTGGCAGGAAAGAAAAATGCCGAAAGTATGTGAATGAAAGTAAACCTATAAGGTGGCCTGGAAAATAATGTACACATCCCGTTGGTAATCCTTGCCACAAGAAAGTGCGCCAGATCTCAGAACCAATTTGTAAACCTCCCCCCAACAATAAAGGACGCCAACCGTCTTGGGATGTGTTTTTTTCTTCATTGTTGTTTTTTGCTAGTTTTTTTCCCCTCCTGACCTGTTTTTTTGATTCTGACCTTGAAGTTGCGTTTTTGTTGCATCTTGATTCAAAAATGATTTGCAACAAACTCGCAAAGGGGGTAGCCTACCAACAGGCGGTGACCTAAATAGTTTTTTTGATCTTCCTAAAAATCCAAAGAACAGTTACTAATTCAAGTTTTCTTTGACTATATATAGTTTAGGTTCCATTTCAATTTCAATTGGAAGTGCTTGGGGCCAATTCTCACTTCATTTCAATTAAGTATAGTTTAATTTCGCTTTCAATTGAATTCAGATAGTAGTTCAAATTCAAACCAGTTCAAATTCATGCAATTCAAATTCAAATTCAACTAAAATCCAAATCAATTAAAACCAAGTTGAAGTCAACTAAACCAATACCAATCTCAATCCAGAGACAGCTTTCCACAATACGTTTCTATTTGGTTTACGTATTTTTCAATTAGGCAATTTGTTCCACAATACCAAATGTCCCAAAAAGTATGTTTGGCCACCTCAAACTTTATTTAGGCAACAATATGTTCAGTAAGTTTTGGGGCAGTTATTAATTAATCAAGTGTCAACATTAGGGCACAACGTCTTGCACTGGCAGAGAGGAAAAAAAACATCGGAACTTGTGTATGTGAATGAAACTGCGAGATGATGCTTTGCTGCCCCTCTCATGAAGCCGGAGAACACCCCAAAGTTTTCCAACTTTCGTCGAGAAGCTGCCAGCAAAGGGGTGGATAAATACTTGTATCCCTTCTTCCAAGCAATTTGCGCTGTCTTCCTCCAATTGTGCATGACCGTTCTAATGCACTTCCTGAGTGTCTGGTATTGGGCAGAGTTTCGTAGGCGCAGGGATTTTGAGCCAAGAGAACCAAGAGATTCGTGCAGTGTACAAATATCATCAAATATCTCGGTTCTTTCATGGTTATGGTAATCTCATGGTGCCTCACCAAGTTGCGGCTCCTGTGCCCATAAGTCGGGCAATGGTTGTTGCGCATCACATCCAGACACTGGCCAAAATCCCACACCCGTGGCTACGGATTTCGACCAACAGTCACCTGGGCGCTGCAAAGGCTGGATATGGCTGGATAGTCAGCACGAGGAATGTCACAAAAATCTGGATAAAGGACTTATAACTTATAACTTATAATTATACTTATAATGGCTTTTCCTGAAAAGGTTAACTTCTTCAAGAGTTGTAGGTATATATAGTCAAATTAGTCAATCTAATTGACAATCTGTGTTTAAGACGGCATTTGACGGTACTTAAAAGTTCAAATAGCTTGAGCCATAGGTGGCTCTCTCTCTCTCTCTCCCTCCATCGCCATCTCAGGAGATCAGCAGTCAAGCTGAAGGCGAGCTAAAAAGGCGACTTGGCAGGTCAGCATCCAAGCTCGTTAGCCAGGCGCGTCATATCACCAAGCCACCGCAAAAGTAAAGTACAAATTTCCGTTACTATACATAAGGCGTCAAAGGGATGAAAATGAATAGGCAAAGGTGACTGCTCTGTGCAGTTTATACAGCTAGATGCAGCCAGTTTGCACATGCCCTGGCTGTTGGGATGACCAGGGGGTAAACCAACTCCGCTGTCGGCTATTGGGCAATCGTTTTGTTGCACAGCTTGCGGAGTGCAAGGCCTTGCTGCTGTGGCACTGAAGCAACTGGTCAGTAACTGGTTGCATCATGTTGCATCTGGTTGCACAAAGCAAATGCTGCAAACTCATCAAACTCAAGGGGTTGATATGGGTTGATGATGGTAAAGATGTCCCCGCCTGACGCAGGTTCCAAACATGTTGCCCATACAGCTGCCCTGGATGTCTGGCTCATTCATGCCTAGGAAAATGTCGGCCATTTGTGCTGGAGATCTCTTACCTCAGCTTCCATGTCAGGAAAGGAGAAGCTTCTGCCGTTGTGCATCACTGTGCACAAGAGTCAATTCCAATTCAATTCCAAACACAGGTGAGGTGCCATTCCCATCCAGGAAATTTGTCTCTCCAGCTTCTCGCACCCACTTCTTCTCCACGACACCGGACCCCCATATTTCAGGCATGAACAAAAAGTCCTTGCTGAGATATTCAGGCCCTTGGGCAGTTTCCATTGGAGCCAAGTTCCAGTTCCAAAAGGACACTTTCTGGAAGGAGCTACTCTTCTTCAAGGAATCGATGAAACGTTGGGTCTCTGCCGTGGTCTCCCCAGTTTCAGAGATGCCCGGCAAAGGTCCCAGTAGACCACAGCCCCAGAGTGGATCATTCTCCGTGTCCAGCTTTGGCTTCAAAGATCTACTCTCGCTTGAGTCCCTCAGCTTCTCAAGTTACATGGCTTCCATGCAAGTCCAGTTTATTGCTAACTGTGGAGGCTCAGTGAGCATCCGTGACGGCCAAGCTCCTGGCGTGGCGGAAAACAATTTCGCCTTAGAACATGAGAGAAGGATACACAAACATACACAAACAACATGCCCGAAATTGCTTTGCCTTTTTCTTCCCGTGCTGACGAAGCCAAGACACGCTGACAAAACCCACAACGACTGCAATGGAAATTCCAGCGGCGACTTGCTTGCAAATTCGGGAACGTCCTTGACGACACAAGCACTACAAGTAACTGTATGAATCTATATGAGTCATCATCACTGTAGTGCAACATGCTATGCGGATGTACTCAATATGCATGTCAAATATCATGCTATCGGCTGAAAGGTGGCGGGCCTTTTCCCCTTGACAGCTCGTTAGCATTCTCCGTTTCCATGGGCTGCGGCTTGGATCCTGGGCAAAGGCTCAGCCCGGCCCCCATCAACTCGTCATTCTAGAAATGGGCTGAAAACACCTGAAAACATAGACGGGAAAGAAGATCCAAATGAGGTTAAAAAACGTATATAAAAAGGATATTTGTCAAAAAATGTGATAATTGTGCATTGTAGTGATTGTGCAAGTTCGGACACGTGATTGGGAAGGTAAACTGTGCAATTTCTGGTTACCGCAAAGCTCCTGCTGCCATACTGCGCCGCTCAGCATGGGTTCCGGCTTGAACCCACAGGCATCTTGGCAAAGCACAAATTACATCACACACACATATATATATACACCCGAGAAGTGCAGAAAGGAACTACAGATATCTAATACTGCTCCCGCGGCTATTGTGAACTTGGAGAGAAACCAGGTGCGAGCAAGCATGAGCTGTGTGTTCCATATACAAAGAAAGGTGGGCTGGCAATTGAATACCCTTCGCTTGGGCAAACTTGCAAGGACCCTAAAAATGAAGCTGTGCAGTCACTTTTATCTGCGTACTTCCACTGGCCCATGCCATGCCACAAGTGTACCTGCTCAGCTGCCACTACTTATGTGAAACAGTTTCTTTCACCTAGCCATGGCATCCACCTTGGAGATGCACCATTGAAGTCCACTCAGACAACCAAGAGCCTGAACCTATACTTCCCATCACTGTTCCTACATTAAAGGATATTGAAGTCTCTTATATTTTTAAATAACATTTTAAACCTATTTTCAGCAATTGCCGGTCCCATATGGTTGCTTATGTTGCTTATTCAAGTTGCAAGTATTTCCGGAAGTTTGCATTGGCTGTTCTGCCATATAATGCATTTGCTGGCATGGCCCACATGTGAGGGAAACACATATGATCTTCAATCTTCAACTATTAACGGTATAGTATGGTATAGTCGGTATAGTTGAATTGGCAGTGATTTTAATTCCTTGGATTCGCCAGAGTTGTGAGTCTCGGGCATTAGGAGAAGCGGGCATGGGCACCTCCAAGCCGGTCGCTTGAGGATTTCAAATGGCGGCGGAAAGACATGGAAAGACTATGACATGACTCCTGCCACTTGATCTCCGCTGTCAGATCTCACAGGCAGATCAATTTGTTTGCAAAATAAACGCTAGACCGCCCAAGAGGCCCTCAGATTCACACCATGAGTAAGCCTCTTGTTGCAACTTAGGGAACCATGCTTGCGCAAATATTAACATTATGGGTCCATGGGAATGGCTCAAAAAACGGGCATGAATCGTTCCGCAGTGATCCGGACGTATGGAACGAGTGAGGTACAGCAGGTTTGATCCGCACATATTGCAAAGGTATACTAAGGTGGCCTGATATTGGTACAAGCACAACTTGTCATTTTCGTTTATGGACAAAGGGTATGGATCATATCCGCTAGCAATGTATGGATCATGGGGATGGATTGGGGCTATGGATCGCCGGTGGGTCCAGGTATGGATCGGGGCCTTACATTTTGAACCCCGGCCATATCTCGCTGTCTGATAACAGTCGCGAAAACGTTGGTCGAAATCCAAGCTTTCAAAGCAATGCTTCATCGCACCACTGCTAGTCTCTTGTTTCTCATTGTTTTCCACTCTCTGGCAGCCTGGACTGCTCTGGAATTTGAATGCAATTGATAGCTTGAAGTGAAACAGCCACAAAAAAATGTCGGCCGGTCCTACAGTGCATCTGGCATCTATAATCTCACAACCTTCAAAATCTATGTAGCCAAAAACCCTCATCAGCATCTGCAGTCATCGAACAGGTCGAGGTGCCCAAGTGATACCTTGTGTTCTCAACCTCATCTTGCACGGGCAAGTAGGTGGCTGAAGTTATTGAGGTCTTAGTTTCTGAGCTCTTAGCTGTAGTGCCACATCATTTCCTTCTGTTACTACCTGCAGTCTGAGCAACAAGGCGCTAGCTGTTAGGTGCTTTTAGTCCCTGGATGGCAGTAAAAAAAACAATCGCAACAACACCGGTTGCCACATCACCCTCTTGTAGTGATCTCTACTCATCTCGACTCCACACCAATCCATCAATGCCTCCCAACCATCATTGGCAGCTTGACTGACCTGGGACAGTACTTCCGGTGCACAATACATTGCAAAACCTTGGTTTGCCTTTTACCCCATAGATTTTGAAACCTGTAAATCCTGTACTAATCTGAACCTCACATGTGCTTGATCTCGACATTCTTAGGTCAGGACCAAGGTGGGATTGACTCTCAATCTGTCGCTGGCATAGCGAAGCGCCTTTGAGGTGAGGCAAAACTGCTGCACTGCAGCTGTGGCCACCGATGCACCATGATGCACCACAGAATTCTTTGAACGAAAAACGTCTACAGTCTAAAGCCTACAGACCAAGGCCACCGGATGGTGACAATCCTTACCATCAAAAACCATCAAACACTTTTGTGCCAGTGCCAGCCTCGCCCTTTTGGGACACGGCTGCAGTCATGACGTCCAAATTATCATGAAGCTCCTGGTGGAAAGGACAAAAGCCCTGCGAGCGCTGTGAGAAGAACATTCAACAGGTGTATAGGTGCTTGTCACTGCTAGATACTGCTATATAATGCTATATATATATATTTATAGATCTATGTAGTCTATATGTCTATATTAAGTCTAAGAGTCTACAGTCTACATATATAGAAATCGGTCTATGCGTATGACAGTATGATACATACCGTACCGACAACCCAGCAGCATCTCCTCGTCAATAAACTGTAAAGCTTCCCAGCTTTGCTCGATGGCGAACAAGGCTGCGAGCGGTAAAAAGAATCATTGCAACTGAAGCAACTGTGTTGAACTACAGTCAGCCAAAAGAGAAATTTCAAAACATCGCAAAACAAGCAATGGTGCAAGTGGGGGGTGTACCCAAGTCTTTGTTCTTCTTGAGCTCAGTGGATGCGTACTCGTAGGAACGCCAGTCGTTTGCAATGGCCTAGGCCATGTGCAGGGTCCATGGAGCCTGCGTTCTAATCATGCGATGCCATGCGCGAGTGCAAGTTCCCGCCTCCTTCATGATGTCGAAATCCTCTCTGAAGGACTGGTAAAAAGCGTGCCGAACGGCGCAGCCATCCTGCTGCAAGGCACAGTGAAAGAAAGATACAGAAAGTATTGACAGCAGTGCCTGAGCCACAACAAACATCAAACAAATATATAACAAATGAATCAATCCATCAACTCCTGCCGAACGGCCTCCAACACAACCTCGCATGCTGCCAGTGCCATGCTGTGCCCAAAAAAGGATACAGTATGATACCGTGCTCTCATGTACGAGTACTCAGTACCCTTTTCAAAGCGACGAATCGTATGTAGTCTGGAATTCTGGATGTGCGGAGGTAGCCGTAGCAATCAGTCCACAATAGCCGTCACTATCCCTATCACGATCACCATCGTGATCACCGTGATCATCATGATCGCCATGATCATCATGACCATCATGATCACCACGATCATCACCATCCTCATCATCCTCGTATTATCCTCATCGTCAATCGAAACACAAAACAGCGATATCAACATGATGCCTGCCTCTCGGTTACATCGGAGTGCTTCAGAGGCAAACTGCAGGGTGAAGCCTGACGTCTTCAAGACCTGGCCAGGTTTCAAGCACCAGTGATCTTCTGATGTCTTATTGAAATCATGAGCATACTGTGTATAACACTGTGCAATCATGTGGGAATGATATCTTCCCAGATTTCCCAGAAAGTCTTTCGCCCTGGTGCCTCAAGCACAAATTCCTTGTTCTCCCGCAGGTTTTGATACGCAAACTGAAAGGCCTCATTCGTGGAAATCGCACGCCGGCAATCGCCAGTACATGTATTTGCTCTTTTGTCATTGCCCACTTGATATGGAAAGCTTTGGAAGTGCTTCCAGTACTGCGCAGCCACCTTGCATGATACATAGATCAATCTCAAGAAATAAGAAAAGGAGGCTACAGTATGCTACAGTGTCAGAATCTGACAGCTGGTTTGCAGAGTGCCAGACAAGCAACTGCCTGCTTCTGCATCAAAAAAAGGCTACTGCCAAAGTATCTCATGCTTCTTGCTGAGTCTTGAGCCCGCCAGTCCTGCCGTACCGCCTCAGTTTTCAGCTAAGCGCATCTACTGTAAGTGTTCAGACCCAGTTTTCCCCAAAATCAAATAGCGGTGATCCATGGTGATCCAATGAAATTCACACTCGGCACCTCATCTCATCCCAACATATCCCAACTGGGCCCATGACTGCCAAGCCCATCCGTGGATCTGCCCGAACTGCTGGGGGTCTGGGTTGTCAGCTGCTTTGACAAAAAATGCCACGATCACGTGCCCAGAACAAAACACATGGACTCATTGACATTCTCTGTTGAACGGGATTTCGATAACTCTCAATTGATCTCGAAGTACTGAGTGCTGGACGCTTTTGACAAGGCTTGCCAATCTCGAGAAACAGCCTGGAATATGTTTTTGCCGCATTTGACTCCAGAGGTCAAGTACCCAATTTATCCCAATTTCATATGCAGCCATTTTGCTGTCATTGATCTGTGATGATCTGTGCCCGCTGGTAAGTTCTGGAGCAAATACTGACACGACTCACCCTTGAAACTTGCACCAAATGCCTATGTCATGCCTATGCCTATGTCGTTGACATCCAAGTGTTCGTGGTGGCTCCAGACTGATCAGACTGTGCGCGCCTGGCTCCAAGTGTTTCGCTCAGCAGGCCTGGGTTCTTCACTGCGTGGCTACTGTGGGGCAAGTCGAGTTTAGACACTGGGTGGCTCCTGTGGGGCAAGTTGAGTTTAGATAGATACATAGATAATTGATAGATGGATAGAAAAAAAAGATAGATAGATTAGATTAGATTATATAGATTCGATTAGATTAGATTTGGATTAGATTAGATTAGATTTAGATTAGATTAGATTAGATGCGATGAGATTAGATTTAGATAAGATAAGATAGATAGATAGTAGGTAGATAGATGGATAGATGGATGGATGGTTGGATGGATGGATAGATGGATAGATGGATGGATCGATGGATGAATGGATGGATGGATAGATAAATAAATAATAGATAACATACCTACAGTAATGATCAGTACATATCAGTACGTAATGTTATCACATACATTACATTCATATCTGGTGGCTTTATGGATTGGAGGAGTGCACTCTCACACACCACATGTGTATCCACAGGGCTGCCCACGTAAGGCTGGGTAGCTTGAGGCAATCGACAGCCATTGCAATGAAGCGAGCCCAAGCTGGTGTGCTTAGGATTGGAAGTTTTACGAGATACTGAAATATGAATAAGCATGAATAAACTTTATCTCTCTTGCTTCTGCACTATGTCTAAATGTGTCTCACCAATATCACCAACTTTGGAGAGAAAGTTCAACAATATTAAACTGCTACTGCAGTACTAGCCACACTGGCAAGAAGCTAGCAAAGCCACCTGCGAGGTCAAGTTTCAATCATATCATATCTCAGTAGCAGTCTTTGCATAAAACTGTGACTGGTGTCCGTCGAAGTAAAAGGGCAAGAATCTATAGGCACGAAGTGGCACTGTCATCGTCATGTTATTATGTATACACTGTAGCCTGTGCAAATGAGTCCTACTGCACGCTGTTTGCAACAAGCTTCAATTTCGGTGGTAGCCTTCAATCCTTTCCTGTTGGTGCTTCATGTTGTGTTTGTCTTGTTTGATTGACGAACAGCTGCGGTCACTCTTTTCTTATCGACGAAGCACGACTGAAAACAATTTTTGCAAGCTGTGCCAACGCTACCTTGTGGGACAGTTGCGAAATCTTGTCGCACACATAAACTTCATTCATCTTCACTCAGGCGCTGCGTGGCACTTGGCCAAATGTTGGTGTTCGTCATGTTTTATCCAATATCGGGAAGTCGCTTTGCTGGGTCTCACCTTTGCTGTGAATCGCATAGCAAGAACGGCAACCTGATGCAGCGTGCATCATGTAAGCGGCTGTCATTGGTCTCTCTCTCTCTCTCTCCCTCTCTGGCATCCCGACCCGTGACCAAATTCAGAATATGACATGCAACATCATGCAACCCAAGTGTGGCCGACCAATGACATTGGAAAATGATGGGTCATCCATCCCATCTCTTGATGCGTGCAATCTCGGATAAAGGCATAGTCCCTTGATGTCAACCTGCTTTGCAGTGACCACCAGGACAAGGAATGCCCTGTCTCACTAGAGTCTGTACACAGGCTTTTCCACGGTGTGTTCCTGCAAGCCAAAAAGAACATGGCCACGTTGCGTGCAATTCTAGCCTGGCTTTGGAAGAAATTTCACGCGTGGTGCAAACGGATTCCCCGCCTCCTTGCGGCCATTTGGCCATCTCGTGATCGTCCGGATGCCTTGAAGTTCACTGAGATTCAGACTATTTCAGACTCATTTGATGCCAGATTTGATGCCAGTGGTGTGCAAACCCCGAAACTCCCAAGTGATCTGCATCTGCTGCATACTGGCACAGACGCGTGACGGAGTCGCCGCATTCCATCATCACCCAGCAGGGTCTCCCTCTGAACTTCTAGGCGAGGCCAATGATCGTGGCATGTTGCCATGGGATATCTTTCAGCCTCACAGAATGTGAGGATTTGCGGGCAAAATATTGCAAAATTGGTGACTCAACAGTGATACTTTGTAAATCTTTGTAATCAACTTTGAGTTTGACAGGTTTTGAAAGCACATAAAATCAAATGACCAACTGAAACTCTATTGGTGTGACCAAGGGCAGGGAATGACTCAAAGAATGTTTCAGCATGTTCTAAGTTTGGGCAATTGCATCATACCGAATCCATTTGGTTCTATTTGCAGAAATGCCTGACCACCCTGCGCTGGCGCTAATTGTGATGCTGCTTGCGCTGCACGAAGGAGCCGCGCATAGATGCCTTCCTTGACAGCTGCGGCATGCACTCCTTCGCAGCGTGCCCGAATCAAAAACATCGAAAAGATTCATCAGATCTATTCAAAAATATGCAAAGGCTGTAGCGCCTGGGATTGCAGAAATAGAACAAACAAGAACACACATGAACAAACATTTTATGAAGAACAACCTCAAGCATGACCAGTGACACTTTGACCTTGGGACCTTACTCCTGGACTGATCTTTACACGGAGTGAGTGCTTCAAATCCTAAGATCACACTGAATCGCAGGCTAATCTCAGGTTCACTCCTGGCTTGATGTTGAACCGAGCCAGCTCCACATCAAGCATTTCATCAACACCCCTTCCGCTGAAGGCAGCTTGAAAGAGCTTCTCTGCTTGCTCATCATTTATAGAGCTGAATGGTGGCCGCCCATTTTGACTGCCAGACATGCGGGTCTTCGGACGCTTTCCTAGAGTACGGCCGTGGCTGTATTCGGTGGCTCTACTGGCAACTAATTTGGGGCAAACCATTCTGGACGTGCTGAAAGGATCTCATAAAATGCCAGAGTATAACTGTATAATACTATATAATACTGTATATATAACGTTGTATAACCCGGAGATACCCTGAGCGCCAGCAAGGGCTGCAGGTCGTAAGTTGTATGGCCACTTTCTGGATTCTGGAGCACGAGAGGCCGATGATGGAAACACAAGGAGCAGCGAGCTGGATTGGCTGAATGGAGTTGAGGATTGCTCCCAACTTTAATTGTCAAAATTCTGTTCGGTCCTTTGTTGCGCGATCGCAAGCGCTGGTAAGCTTCTGAGACTCTGCGGAAGGCTTCGTCAGCATTGTGGGCCTGACCAGCCATGAGTTTTACCTCAAGCTTTAGCACAGTGTCCTGAGAGACTCATCAGACTCATACAGTAAGACATAGAGTGGCCTTTTGTTGGCTCTAACTTCTAACTTCGCTCTAAGCCGCGTTTATTGTGAAAACATGTGACAAATAAATTACAGTAATAAATAAAGATGCTTCTCAAATCTTCTGAGCCTCTCTGCTTCCAGTTGAATCTGGATGCGTCTGGACTGCAGCTTTGAGATAAGCAGCTCTTACCTCCTCCGCGGAAGAACCTGAGCCAATTCGACAGCGCTTCACCGAATGCATCGAATGCTCATTGCATCATTGCAGAGGCCTGGATGGACTCCTAAGATCTTGTAAGGGTCTTCGATGCTGCTGCACATCCTGACCAGAAACGCTGAATTCTTCAGCAAATCAAACCACAAGGTATCACAAGGTGCATCAAGATTTATTCATATTATTTAATATTAATATGATATTATGTAATATGGTGCAAGCGGATTGTACTATCTTTTCATGTTGTGATGAATGACGTCATCTCAGCACCAAAGTCCTGGTGCAAAGTGCAATCCGTAGCTTCCCAACCTTGTGAGTCCGCACGACCGCGCGCGGGCCGACATACAAACGTACACTTGGATTGATGATTGATTGATGCATATTCAAGCTGCGTGGATCTGTACACACACAGATATATATATATAGTTATATAATCACACACACACATATATATATACAATATATATGCACAAACAAACAAACAGCCGGACGGCCGGACGGACAAAGGCATCATACACACAGTCACAGTGGACATCTTTGATCAGCTATGTGAGAGGAATTGCGAGGGATGCAGCAAAGCTCTCATAAGTGAAGGTAACAGCGCTGGGCAAGCAGCATGAAGCTTGATGTACGGTCGCAAGCAATGCCGAATCATTCAGCAGCTGAATGCACATAGCACTGCACTGTGCTCAAAAGAACAGGGAAGAAGAGGATTGTGCCAGTGGTTCAAGTACAAACCTTGAGAATGATGTGTCTTGTAGAAAATCAGCATGCTTGAGCTTGACGTGACTTCCCTCTTCTCCAACGAGAAGGTTAGAAGATGACCTTGCCATGGTTTCTCTTGCTGTCGCTACTTGCTGCTTGCTGTTTTCATGTTGTTTTCTGATTTTTTTGTGGGCAGCTAAGGCTGAAGGGTAGCAAGTTATTGCAAGCCCGTTGCCTTCTGAAATCGTCACAGCCTCGCTTCTGCGTGAACATACAACATTATACAATCGTCATGCAACTAATCCTCTGATAGCACCTGCAGAAAATCCTTTTAGGCTTGGACGCTTGGTCTGAAATATGCGGAAATCTCCATGTCTTAGACATGGAATGGAGGTTCAGCTAACGGATCTTCCAAAGATTCCTGAACCTGGAACATCCTGGAACTGTGTGGAACTGTGGCACATGATTCTGTCAGCTGTCAGGGATCCATGAAGATCGCGCTCACAATCTATTCTTGGCGCTTTCAGCACTTTAGTGATGGAGCCTTGGTGCACATTTGCTGCGGATGAGCCACAGCCACACTAACATTCACTGACAAATTTGTCAAGACCTGTCAAGACACCAAAAAAGTGCATCATCGTCAAAGGTAAGTGCCACACAGACACAATCCTAGGCGTTTACACTGCAATGCACTGCGAAACCATGAAATTGAAGAGTTGGAATTGCTATGCAAGGAACGGCAGGTGTGTCTTGCCACTGCTTTCAAGAGAAACATAGACAAACAAGCAATATTCTCAAAACCACTGGGGGCAGGGCCTTGAAAAAACATTCCTGTCACACGAGGCAAATTTGGACTTGTTCTTGTTTCATATGTTTCATGTTTTGTCTACGTATCGCCGTTCGTGCCATGTTCAGAAATTCATGATCATTGGCAAGAGATTTGCCCAGCCGTCGGTGTCTTCAACACCAGTTCGGCAATGATCCAACAGCATCCAATGCGCTTTAGGATCCGTGATGATCCGTGTGCATCAAAACACTTGGCTGGTGAGACAATCTGGTTGCTGTCTCGGGGAGGCTGTAGAATGAGTCCAGGTCCTGCCCAAGTGAGGTGTTGCCAGCAAGAACTGATTCTTGCACGGAAGTGAGAATTGTGACGTCGAGTCTGATGGAGACGGTGCCTTGATCATTCCCATCTGCTCGCTGCGGGTTGAAGCCAGACCTAACCTGGAGGTTGGTCGTGACTGAAAGCAGCTTTGGACTCAATGCGCTTAAGAAGTCACTTTGTCACATGTCCCGAGGTACGACGGTGGATTGTTACTGTTAGTATGCTATTGTGGCTATGGGCTATGATTATAATTAGATATAATTAGTATGTTATAGTCTAGTAGTATGTCATAGTATGCCACCCATGTCAAGTTTGGGGAAGTCGACAAATTATCAAGGAATATCAGGGAGCTGCTGGGGCTGGAACGCCACAGGTCCCATCGGAGCACCAATTGTGGATCGGTACGTGCTCCTGGAGACAGGAACTTTGCTGCTCCATTTTTGTTCTGATCATTTCTGATCCACATGTGAGGTCAACCACATTCAACCCGCAGAAAAGGATCATGGCACAGAGGTCATCACAAATGATCATCTTGAAGATGGATCTTGATGACATGATATGACATGTACGGACAGAATCTGCAAGATTTTGCCGCATCCGGTGCTTCTCCTCATTCCACCAGACCTGAGTTGACATGAGTTGGCTGCTACGTGCAGCAATGGCAATGAACACAGAACACAAAGAATGCTCGCATACGCCGGACAAAATGGCTCATTGCAGTACAGCCATCCAAATCCAGGCCAGCTGATCTCTGCAAGGAATCGGAAAACACTTGGAACTGTCAAATGACAACCACATCACATAATTATATAATATTATATATAATTATCACATGAGACATCCTTGAGAAATTGCTGAATGTCCTTAAGCACTCTGCAACTTCAACAATCATCTTCAAGATCCGACTTCATATTCAAACTGCTTCTCTACTCTTCTCTATAGCATCGGTGCAGAGAGTTCATTAATCCAATCGGGTCGAATCTAATTCCGGACAATAAGGGAATGCGTTTCAATCCGTGTCATATCGCACTTCCAGGTTGCCGGCCCGGCCCAGGAGCTTGTACCAAGAGCGGAAGAAGCCTAGGGAAAGGCAGTCCAGATCTCTCCAGTGCGGCGGTGGTTCCTTGCGTTTTTGGTGACCACTTTCAGGTACTTTTCAGCCCTGCACTCAAGTTGCCGAAGCACAAAAAGTTAAGGCAACAAATGGCAATGAACACAAATCTACTATATATGCATTTGTCCAGGTCTGATACTAAGAACATCCTTCTACGAGTTTACCGGGTCAGGTTGGCTCACCTGATTTTCTAGGGAAAACATAGGTGAAAACAGATACTTGGGCCCTAGAAAAACACAGCTGGAAAAAAAATAAATACCACCTCACTAGAAAATCAGCACACACACAAAACGGCATTTTAGACCCTGAAATGCCAAAAATTTGGTAGAAAATTGAAACCTGATCCTTGGGCTCCGGCGAAAAATGCGGAGCTTGATGTCATAATTATTTAGCATCAACATCTGAGCTATGATATTCTAGAACATTCATGTCCGGCCTCCTCCCCTCTCCCGAGATTCGATTTTTTGGATTTTTTCGAATTTTTCGAGTCTTCTCTCAAAGCGTCCTCCAAAATGAGCCCTTCCCAGCCAATAGTCGCCATGAATTCAAACACAGTCATATATTTTAATATACGAGCTGGTATTTCATACTACCTCCGGGGCTTCGCAGCCTGGCCCGCCCCCCACATGTAAATGTCGTTACCGTACAGCATGCTGCAACTCTGTACAAAAACATACCGCCTCAATTTCTTTCACTTCTTTCACTTCTTTCACTTCAGCAGCTTTTGGTCATAGAAGTTTCAAACAATGACTCAAAAGGAATGTGATTTTCTGGAAGTGACGCGCGCTGTTTTAAATCCAGTGCTTGATTTTCTAGAGGCCACAATTTTCCATACATGTGCCTCCCACATTTTCAAGACGCCTGCATCCAGGTCCATATTCGAAAACCATCGAAAACCTATATTCGAAATTGTTATTTTCACATATTGCCACAATGCGTCACATGTTTTCACATTGTACACATGTTCTCCATATGTTCATTTTTATATAACCCCATCCCAATGTATTTTAAGGTGTTTTCATGTTCTCAGATTTACCAGACTCGCAATTCTGGTTTAGGCGTTTTGGACTTGACTATAGAATATTTCAATATTTTTGGCGTACCCTTATAAAACAGCAGTTTTTGGTCATAGAAGTTTCAAACAAGGACTCAAAAGGAATGTGATTTTCTAGAAGTGACGCGCGCTGTTTTAAATGTGCTTGATTTTCTAGAGGCCACAATTTTCCATACATGTGCCTCCCACATTTTCAAGACGCCTGCATCCAGGTCCATATTCGAAAACCATTGAAAACCTATATTCGAAATTGTTATTTTCACATATTGCCACAATGCGTCACATGTTTTCACATTGTACACATGTTCTCCATATGTTCATTTTTATATAACCCCATCCCAATGTATTTTAAGGTGTTTTCATGTTCTCAGATTTACCAGACTCGCAATTCTGGTTTAAGCGTTTTGGACTTGATTATAGAATATTTCAATATTTTTGGCGTACCCTTATAAAACAGCAGTTTTTGGCCATAGAAGTTTCAAACAATGATTCAGAAAGAATGTGATTTTCGAGAAGTGACGCGCGCTGTTTCAAATCCAGCGCTTGATTTTCTAGAGGCCACAATTTTCCATACATGTGCCTTCCACATTTTCTAGGCGCCTGCATCGAGGTCCATATTCGAAAATCCATATTCGAAATGACTATTTCACAAGTTTTCTGTATATTAATCATATTTCATTTTTAATCCCAATCTATTTTCATGTGTTTTCAATTTCTCTGATCTACCAGACTCGCAGCGACGCGCAGGTACTCAAAGTTCCAGCCCAAGCGCTTCGGATTGGCTGTTTTCCAATTGCGAGATGCGGCAAGTGTTGCAAACTTGGACAGGAGAGAGATGGGATTAGATTTTAAGCATGTTTAAACAAAACAAAATGACCTACCAGTGCCCCTCTAGAAAATCAGGGACCACTAGAAACTCTAGGAACGTCCTCCCAGAGATGCTAAATTATTCTCCTGGATTTTGGGCACTTAAGCTACCCAGAAAATCAGGGTCTCCCGACTCAGAGGTCTCCAAAAGTTGTTCTGTAGAAAATGAGGGGGTTGATAAAAGCAGCCTTTCATCAAAATCGAAGAATTTTCGCGCCAGATTATCAGTCCTTCTTAGGGGGGTTGACCCCCCTGAAATCCTAGAGGAAACTCACACCGGTATTTTCAGAAACATAAGTCTAACTCAACTAAACTAGAAAGACAGAGCCCACTAGAAATTCATAGGCTGACTCTCCAAAATTGGGTCCGTAAAATCCGCATCTTCCGCGCCAGAAAGTTAGGCAGTTAACGAGCCGGATTTCCTAAGGAAAAGGGAACCAGTATTCAGAAACATAAGTCTAACTCAACTAAACTAGAAAGACAGAGCCCACTAGAAATTCATAGGCTGACTCCCCAAAATTGGGTCCGTAAAATCCGCATCTTCCGCGCCAGAAAGTTAGGCTCTGTCAACTTTGAGGTGCTTAAAATAGCCACGCTAGAAAATTAAGGCCCCTATGAAAGCAGCCGATCCCCAGAATACAAACCTGGGATGACTAGGAAATGAAGGCTTACAGGGGGGTCGACCCCCTAGACTTTCTGGCGGAAACTGGTAAGAGGATCTAAGAACACTGAATATGTCGACGTCGCCGTCACCCCATCTATGGATAATGCTTGCCTGACAATTCTTACCCAAGGTCGTTCACAGGCAGTGGCCAATGGTACATTCATCATTTTGCCGCATTTTGCCGAAGCTGCTGAAACGGAATTGTTGTTGATGGCATTCCGGCCTCTCAACAAATGCAGTTCGGCCACATCTAGGAGATCTAGGATGGTTGATGAGTAACCAAAACTCTAGTTATCTCAAGTCGATCTCAAGTCGCGCAGCCTCCAATCGGAAAGTACCTGAGCACATCCGAGCGTCACATGGCAGAGCATACAATGTGGCGTGTGGATGCATGTGGGGTTTCATCTTGGCGGCGGTCACTTTCCTTGGATTCGGGCTCTCCTCTGAGCATCTTCTCGTAGCTACTCCCGTCGATAGGAGGAAGCTGTGGTAAGGGCCTTCGCAGTACGGATTGCAATCAGAGCATGTCTTGAGACATTTCCTTGCAAACAGTTTGTCTATCAAAACTTCAGGCTGCTGGCACTCTGAGATGCGCAATGGCTGATTTGCTTGCAAGCGTTCAAGTGCATATGCAATCCTGCCCGAACCATCCTGAAACATCCTGAAGCCATGTTTCTTTCAAGCCGGTGCCAAGCGGCAAATACCTTTTCTCTGGCTCATCATGGCCCATCGCCACTGTACATGATAGGGTTTTACAGCCATGAATTCGCACCCCGAAGGGCTTGCAATGGCTTGCATATCTGCAGTCACATCGAAAAGATCATTCAGCACCATGCAGCGGATTATTTTCTGGTCAATTGGTCATTATTTTGTAATCCAGTCTAGACAGAGGATGACACAGGACCCTGAGACTAAAACTGAGCATCATTTTGTTGAATAATGTTAAGATATGTTAAGTAATGAGTGCCCCAGTTCGATCTAGCTGGCGAAATGTGTGTTCCAACTACGACAATCTGAAACGAAGCTTGGGAGATTGACTTGGAGCGGCTTAGCAGCTACATGAAGTCTTCCTCAATCTGCCTGCACTCCTCTATGGACCCTGTCTGTGACACACCTTGGAAAACAAATGGCAGGATGAAGTAGAATGCGTACTGCGCGCAGCCGAATGTGACCAACCGACCAACCCAAACAAATTGTCAACAAAACATTCAAGAAGCAGGCACATGCAATCACACACACAAACTTCCAAGGTGGTGACCCACATTTGTGGTCTTTTCCAGGTGCTGGAGGGCAGCATACGTTTTCAGGTCCTGGGACGGGAACTCTCCGATCGCAAGACAACAGGAAGTGATGGATGACCTCGCCTGAGTCACGTGAGTCAAGTTACAACAATTATAGCTCTATTGGCTGACTATGCTGACTCTAAACGGCCCCATAGGTTCTTTGAGACCAAATGATCCAAATGGCATTGTCAGATTATAAATAGGATAAATAGGTTATGATTATGCAATGATTATGCTACTATAGTGAAGGAGGGGCATTGTGCTGCTTGCACGGTCCTTCTCTTCCGCATTTCGCTTCGCTTCTTCCTTCTCCGTTTTCTTCCTCTCCTGGTCGTTCGCTTCCCGTTATGGATCTCTTGATCTTAATCTACATGCGCATACACACACAGATGTATATATATATATACATATCCTCGCACACACACACAAAAACAAAACATCTCTACATAATGCCACTGCTACATATAATATCATAAAATACAATGCCGAATATATCTTTTGTTGTAGACTCTTGGTCCAGTCCAACCTCGATGATCTTTCTTCTCCGTGCGCGCTCCTCGCTATCTCTCTGCTCTTTTTCCTCGACACAACGGATCGCAGCATCGCCTGAGGTGCTTAGCACCACCATTCATCCAGCCTTCGCAAGGTCGACCTTTTTTTCGACCCTCGTCTTTTCCAATTTTTTGATCACATCTTTGTCCTCACTATTGTGCTCTGAAGATTCTGAAGATGAACCGCTCCGAGAATGCTGCTTCGCACTGAGAACTTGATAGGCAGCAATATGCATAGTGATTCACATTCGATGAAGTTATCTGTTATTGATTGTTATTGCATAGATTTGATTATATTTGCATATCATTATCATTCATTATCTATCATCAGCATCACCCATGAAATGACCGAAAGTGTCCTTGGCCACGTTTTTCATCAAGGTTCGGAATGATTCCTCCCTGAAGCCAACCTTATACTGAGCCCATGCTGCAATGCTTCCAGGCAAAGCTCAAGCGTGTGCTGCTGTGTCTGCTCAGGTGTTGCGCCTGGCCCACTTCCATCTGATCCTCCTTCTTCAAGTTGAGGAAAGGTGTGTAAACAATGTCGCACTGAGCTGCCTTCGAAGACTGACTTCTGGCATGTCAGTGGCTCTTGTGATATGCACTGATTGCTCATGCATGTTCATGCGTTTTCTCCTATTGGTAGCAGTGCCAGCTGCTGTGATGAACCGGGAACAGCATGGAACAGCAGTAGGCAAAGGCGCTCGTCGCAGCCTTGCAGCCTTCGATGGAGTTCTCTTTCGTCAGCTGCGCCATTTCGCCAAGGATCTCTTCAGGAACGGAGGCGATGGCATCCAGCAGCCTGCAGATTCGTGCCGTGGCTGCCCGAAACTGAACTAAGACCACATGAGATTGATAGTCTGAGAACCTTGCATGCTAAGTGACTGTGAGAGTGGGGATGGCACGTGTTTGGCCCTTCTGCATCCTTTTGGACTTTATCTCTGTTTATCCTGCTACTCCGATGAGACGTTGATAATCCCGATAAAAACAAACACACACACATACATAAAATCTGTGACATGATGTGACAGGATCAAACATGACGTACCAGCATGAAAGCCAGGGTAAATCCACGTGCCTCTGCTTCGCCTCTGCCTGATATTGGGAGGGGACGCCTTGTGGACTTGGCAATTTTTGAGCATTCTGTCTTCCAGTTGGAAGGCACATGAAAGATGGGACTTTATGGATGGTTCAACAAGTTGTACTGGCACACATTCCCCACCATTCCCCTCCACGGATGTCTCTGCTTGACAGCCCAAGCATTGGGT